TTTGCTACGGGGCCTCAGGACCTAATCCAAAGAACAAAGGTATACCGCTCAGGCAAAACTATCCAGATCTATCCACAACAGGGTGCAGGCTCTGGCTCTCCACCCCACACGATGCAATAGGAAGAAGGGTCAGCCGCACAACTGGAGGATAGATGAATATAGTGTGTATTTATTGATCCATAGGACACACAAAACATCAGGACATGAATACAGGACCTGTTAACGCGTTTCATACGATCTCACGCTTAATCATAACTCAGGTCTAGCCAGTGCCCAATTGCAAGGTCACTTATTTATTTATTTTGTTTCCTCACTGTTTTGTCATCTTTCACTTTTGTGTGTGTGTTTTTTCTTACTAGGATGGAGGGTGTGGATCATTTGGCCTGGCCTGAAGTCTAGAGGAGGATGTGTGGCCATTAGGTTCCTTCCTCCCCTGTTCCTAGGGGGGTCTCTCTTTGGGAGAGCTCCCTGACCTAGTACTTGGTGGTCGGCTTCGGCTAGCCACAAGGAAAGGGGTCCGCCAGGCCTTTTTGGCTAGGTGGACCATGTTGGAAACCCTTTGACCCTGTCAGGAGCCTTGTGCCCCGGGGGATCAGGGTAGAGGTCCTACCCCTTCGGGGGGGTGGACAAAAGCACTTTTTTGTGTTTGTGTTTTTGCACTTGCACGTTTTTTGTACACTCATGGGTTTTAGTTTTTTGCACCTCCTAGGACTTTAAAAAAGAAAAAAGTAGTCTGCCTTGCTGCATGTGGGCAATTTTACCCAGTTATTGACCTAGTACTTGGTGTTCGGCTTCGGCTAGCCACAAGGAAAGGGGTCTACCAGGCCTTTTGGCTAGGTGGACCATGTTGGAAACCCTTCGTCCCAGTCAGGAGCCTTGTGCCCTGGGGATCAGGTTCCTTCCTCCCCTGTTCCTGGGGGGGGGGTCTCTCTTCGGGAGAGCTCCTTGACCTAGTACTTGGTGGTTGGCTTCGGCCTTGTGCCCCGGGGGATCAGGGTAGAGGTCCTACCCCTTCGGGGACTGGACAAAAGCACTTTTTGGCGTTTGTGTTTTTGCACTTGCACGTTTTTTGTACACTTATGGGTTTTAGTTTTTTCGCACCTCTTCGGACTCTAAAAAGAAAAGTAGTCTGCCTTGCTGCATGTGGGCAAATGTACCCAGTTATGATTTGCAGTTACTAGAAAGAATCCTGGGTAGCAGCTAACGTATTATTATTATTATACAGTATTTATATTGCGCCAAAGGGTTTTCTCAGCGCTGTACAATAGCAAGGGGGACAGAACATGAGACAAGACAGTAACAATACACTACACGAGGGAGTTTGGAGGGCCCTGCTCTTTCGAGCTTACAGTCTAGGAGGTGAAGGTATTGAAGGTGAAGCAAGTGCTAAAAAAAGGATCAGCTGCTGCGGTGCTAGGGAGTTCTGAGCAGGGGCGACTGAACAACTCATGGGGCCCCCCGGGCAATAGGGAATCATGGGGCCCCTGTGTCCTTGCCCAAACTCAAAAAAGCCTAAGAAAAAGGTACCAGGGGCATCTCATGGAGCCCCCTACTGACCCGAGGCCCTCGGGCAGTGTGCCCGAGTTTCCAAGTGGTCAGTCCGCCCCTGGTTCTGAGCATGAAGAGAGGTAAATGATGGCAGCTAGCTCCTCTCTTGGCTCTGTGGTTGCAGTATGCAATTACCTGCTGCAGAGGATTCAGGTGCTTGATGAAATCTTGTCAATGCTATAGCACACACATGCACCCCCCCAGATGGTTTAATTTGATTTTTTCCCGATCTCAATAGGTAATACATACCATATTGCCTGGGGGACTAGGAAAAACAAACATTGACAGTGACAGACTGTATCTCTGTTCTCACCTATGTAAATCACGATCCAGAAAACAAACGCATCATATGAAAATCAGGACCGGCTTGGTAGGCAACTTGTACTAGTGGTGGATAAAACAAGGTTGTTCGACATTTTATAGAAAGGTTTGAGCTCATCACTCTCATTATTGGATGAAACCCGATACCTGCTGCCCGACCTTTTATACTGAAACCTGTCACTAAGGTATGGTGATCCTATGCTAGAAAATATACGGCCGGTAATGTTTCCTAGTCTTTGTGACATGCTGTGTAAAGCATTGCTCAAACCATTACTGGAGGCTATACAATGTCATACTAGACACAACTTATTTCTAAGCAGTAGATCCTTGGTGTCCAGCGTGACTGTTCTAAGTTTTTTATGTATAACCTGTGCTTTGTCCATGCAGTGCAATCAGGGGGCCGGACTGACCACTTGGAAACTCGGGCACTGGCCCGAGGGGCTCGGGGTCAGTAGGGGGCCCCTTGAGATACCCTTGGTACCTTTTTCATAGGCTTTTTTGAGTTTGGGCAAGGACACAGGGGCCCCATAATCCTTATTGCCCGGGGGCCCCATGGGTTGTCAGTCCGCCCCTGAGTGCAATGTAAACAGCCTGTGCGTGATCCCCGTACACCAATCGCTGCACGGGACCTCTGTGTGAGGTTCCCGATCATGTGCAGCACTGATTGGCCAATCAGTAATCAACATGAATAGTAGTAAGCAAGATGTCACTTCTGACATCACATTGCTTATACATGTGAAATCTGGTGAATGATCACAGAGGTCACATGGTACAAGGGCTATTAACAACAATGACCAATCACAGCAGTATTTCTCAATGGCTGCAAGAGAGAAGGAGAAATTATTGCTTTTACAGCCTTTATGTGTGTAAAAGCAATCAGTGTAAAAAAAAAAAAATCTACATCACCAGCCACAAGTAGTACAGTGTCACTATGGTGACGGCTTTGTAGGCGACGGTGTCGCTAGGGTGACGGTGTATTAAAAAAAAAAACATAAATAAACAATATAAAAAAATATGAAAATGAACCAATTTTTGTTTAGAAAAATTGTAATTTTTTGGTTATAAACTAATTTGGGTTATGTTTTTTTCTTACTAAGAAAATAGCTGAATACATTTTGTTGGCCAAGATTTATGAAGAAGATTATTTATTTGCAAAATTTTATAAGAAAAAACACTTTTTTTTCAAAATGTTTGGACTTTTTCAATTTATATAGCAAAAAAAATAAAAAATCCCAGTGGTGAATAAATACCTCGATAATAAAGTTTTATCTGTCTAAAAAATGCTATAAATTTCATATGGGTACAGAGTTGCATGACCGCGCAATTGTCTTTCAACAGTGTGATAGCACTGAAAGCTGAAAAAACTGGCCTGGACAGGAAGAGGGCAGGGGCGGACTGACAACTCATGGGGCGCCCCAGGGCAATAGGGGATCTCGGGGCCCCTGGTGTCCTTTGCCCAAACTCAAAAAAGCCTCATGAAAAGGTACCAAGGGGCATCTCATAGGGCCCCCTACTGACCCCAGGCCTGTCGGGCAGTGCCCGAGTTTCCCAATGGTCTGTCCGCCCCTGGAAGAGGGTGAAAGTGTCCAGACTTGAAGTGGTTAAATAATATGATAAACAATGCCATAACAGTAATCATGGTAAAAGGAAGGTTACATTTAAAAGTGCATATAGTATAAAAAATAACACAAATTAAAATATCCTTTGATAGTGGAAAAGGTGATTAAAAAAAAAGGGAAATGAGGTGAAGCGTCTTTCTTTATGGAACATGTATCTGTGTAATTAGAATTATGGCGTGATATTGAAATTATCGCTTGAGTATTAATTTCCAATATGATGTTAACATATTTTATTAGTGATATTTTAATTGGTTTGGACAACCTTTGGTTAGAGTTCTCGTCTTTTCCTCCGAACAGATGCCTATAACCTTTTCAGAATTTCCAAGTAACAATGTTGGTTGACTGTTCTTGTGTCATCATGGACACCATTTTTACCCCTCCTGAAACCCTCATGCCATTCAAAGGCACTTTTGATTCCTTCATGGAATTTTCACCATAAGCCCGTTGTAACAGAGTTAAAGTTTTGCTTGTGCTTTTTTCCAATTTTCATCAAAATTTGATGTAAATCCGCTGCTCCAGGTTCCTGTCACTCATTTTCCTTCAACGCAATTTCTTATCAAAATTTGATGTAAATCCACTGCTCCAGGTTCCTGTCACTCATTTTCCTTCAACGCTATTTCTTCTGCTAGTCCCTAAAATTCGGTCAACTGGTCTGAGACCCAGGCAAGGGCAAGGTACAACATGTCAGAACATGAATGCGAATGGCATATGACTCACCATAATGCTACGCCATAGGCATTCTGGGAATTAAATTGCCACACCTCGTATATAAAAAAAAAGTGCCAGATGGTGTAATACTGTTAAAAACAAACCTTCCAAAAACAAGACATCAAAAAATGCACTCAATACTAGTGGGACTAGTTGTTATATTGTTCAATCACAGATGTGATATGTGTTATAATGCCCTTGTGGGTATCAATATGTTGGAAGAACCATTTACACAATATATATATGTTTTAGAGCACATGTATTATATGCTGTATAATATAAAAGCGGCTTCAACCCTTTCACCTTCAGGGCCATGTTATTTTTGTTTAACCACTTGCCTACCGGGCACTTATACCCCCTTCCTGCCCAGGCCAATTTCCAGCGCTGTTGCACTTTGAATGACAATTGCACGGTCATGCAACACCGTACCCATACCCGTACCCATTTTTTTTGTAAGAGAGCTTTTTTTTGGTGGTATTTAATCACCTCAGGGTTTTAAATTTTTTCTTAAACAAACCAAAAACCACTGAAAATTTTGAAAAAAAAACTGTTTTTTTAAATAAAATTTTGTAACTAGGTGATTTTTCTCCTTCACTGATGTGCGCTCATGAGGCTGCACTGATGGGCACTGATAGGCTGCACTGATGGACACTGATGGGCACTGATGAGGAGACACAGGTAGGTGGCACTGATGGGCATTGACAGGCATCACTGATGGGCACTGAAAGGCAGCACTCATATATGGCACTGATAGGCGGCACTGGCTGGCACTGTTAGGCAGCACTGACAGGCACTGTTAGGCGGCACTGATGCACAGTGATAGGCGGCACTGACTGGCACTGATTGGCAGCACTGATAGGTGGCACTGACTGGCATTGATAGGTGGCACTGACTGGCACTGAAAGGCAGCTCAGATGGGCACTGATATGTGGGATTGATGTGGCACTGAAATGTGGTACTGATGTGGCACTGATGGGCACTGGCAGGTGCCATGGATGAGCACAGAGCTGGCACTGATGGACACGGACAGGTGGCGCTGCTGGGGCTATACAGATCATCAGGGCACACTGATCATCAGTGCTTTGATGATCTGTATAGATGTTCCCACCGAGGAATGCCGATTACTGGCTCTCCTCTCCTCTGTCAGTGTGACAGCTCGTGAGGAGAGAAATGCCGATAACCGGCATTTCCCTGTTTACATGTTATCAGCTGTGATTGGACACAGCTGATCACATGACCGAGCCAACATCTTCGGCTCTTTCCGTAGATCAGTGATCCTCTGTGTCTGAGGGACACAGCGCACCGCCGATGACGTCCCCCCCAGAACGAAAGAACCGCCTTGCGCCCGTCATATTACTATATGGCGGGTGGGAGGCAGTTTAAAAAGGCATTCTAAGCCTGAAAATTACTTACAGTGCAACAAAAGGCAAAACTTTTTTTTCGTTTTGAAAAGAGTTAGGGAGGGTTTTTACCCCACCATTTTTTTATACCATTTGTGTCCCATTGGGGAGATTTCCCTTTACTTCCTGTCCCATAGTCAAAACAGGAAGTGAGAGGAAATTCCTCCAAAGTGAGGGATTCGCAGGGTGTCACTAGAACTGGTGTCCACATTGGAAGGTTTCACCTTTCTTAATGTTCTGATGTCAACCCAAAATCTGTGATTTTCTTTTATTTCCACTTTCAATTATATCAGTAAACAACAAGACACATAGATTGAATCTCCCTAACAGGAGCACAGACAACCATAAAAACCCAACAGGAGTTTTATCCCTCTCCACTCTATCCAACAGTAAAAAAAAAAAGCAAAGATCCTGGAGGATGAAATAGTAGCATAAATTATCACAGCAGTTTATCAAGTGCAAAATTTCAGTTAATTTTAGGACACACAAATGAAATAAATTACCAGATTTTTCGATAAAATCTAAAAGATGAGAAAGGAGATACCAAACATGTCAAGCCCTTTAATAGCCCCTACAGGTCATCAGGTTAGACCTAATAATGAATAGTGGGCCTAGGATTGTTGCTCTGACTTCAAAGTGTGTAGCAAAAATGTAACGTTCAGTGGAATTGGAGTTTTCATGTGTAGGCATCCACAGTGTATGTGTTTACATTTCTGTGTGCATTTGTGTGTGGGGCGGACAATTTGTTTTTTGGGAGGGGTTTAAGTGCTTGGGTGTAACTTTTATTTTATTTTTTTTTACCTATATTTACAATAGACTTTTTTTTGTATCACATAGGGACAAAAACTGCCCTTTACAGGTCATCATTTTAGACCTAATAATGAATAATGGGGCTAGGATTATTGCTCTAACTCCAAAGTGTACAACAAAATGTAACCTTTAGCGGAATTGCAGTTTTCATATGTAGGCATCCCCAGTGTATTTGTTTTTGTGTGGCATGTGTGTCTTGTGTGGGGGTGGGCAATTTTTTTTGGGGGAGGGTTGATTTGGTGTAACTTCTATTTATTTATTTTTTTTAAAATAAACTTTTTTTAATATAGAGGACAAAAAAGTGCAGCTGGGAGTATGTGTGAAACTCTATTGCTGCCAATGTATGCCATACATCGGTGGCATCCAACAAGTTAAATGACATTGTCCAAAAGGATATTGGGGCATTGAAAAAGTAATAAAATTGGAGGAGGTCATTTTAAAGTAGAACAAAAGGCAAAACTTTTTTTGTAACCCCTGTCACTTTTTCTGCTCTCCTGTGTGCCATTGGGGAGATTTCCTCTCTATTTACTTGTCTGGGGACAACCCAAAATGTAGGATTTTCTTTTACTTTTTGTCGATAACAGTAAACACGACAAATAGAGAGGGTAAATCTCCCTAACGAGGGTAAAGACGAGCAATAAAAACCAAATAGATGTTCTAATCCTTCTCAAAAAAATGTCTTTAGTTATACTTTAAGCACGTTGTATGGAAGGGAGAGACCAAATGGATTTATGCTATTTGCACTTTACCACTAGCAAGTCTGGATATAGACTTTAATTGTTTTTGAAATAATAAACAAGGAAAGGATCATTTTGTATGTTTTCAACAAACTTTGAAAGTTGCTTTTGATCTCAGTTAGGGATGAGCTTAATTGCCTAGGTTTGGTTCAAGCAATGTTTGGAAAACGCAAAATGAGGTTTCAAATTCAGAACCCAAACCCCATTGAAATCAATGTTCTAATCACTCTCAAATCTATCCAAAACAATAAAAAAAAATGCCTTTATATATACTTTAAAGGATAAGTTGAACTATGATTTAATTGGTAATGCTGAATCTTGGCTTCATTGATCATATGATCTCCATGTAGAATACATAAGGGGGATATGATCACCATGTATAATACATAAGGGGGGGATATGATCTCCATGTATAATACATAAGGGGGGATATGATCTCCATGTATAATACATAAGGGGGGATATGATCTCCATGCATAATACATAAGGGGGGATATGATCTCCATGCATAATACATAAGGGGGGATATGATCTCCATGTATAATACATAAGGGGGATTTGATCACCATGTATAATACATAAGGGGGATATGATCTCCATGTATAAATACATAAGGGGGGATATGATCACCATGTATAATACATAAGGGGGGATATGATCACCATGTATAATACACAAGGGGGATATGATCTCCATGTATAATACACAAGGGGGGATATGATCTCCATGTATAATACATAAGGGGGGATATGATCTCCATGTATAATACATAGGGGGGATATGATTTCCATGTATAATACATAAGAGGGGATATGATTTCCATGTATAATACATAAGGGGGGATATGATCTCCATGTATAATACATAAGGGGGGATATGATCACCATGTATAATACATAAGGGGGATATGATCACCATGTATAATACACAAGGGGGGATATGATCTCTATGTATAATACATAAGGGGGGGATATGATCACCATGTATAATACATAAGGGGGGGATATGATCTCCATGTATAATACATAAGGGGGTATATGATCTCCATGTATAATACATAAGGGGGGATATGATCTCCATGTATAATACATAAGGGGGGATATGATCTCCATGTATAATACATAAGGGGGGATATGATCTCCATGTATAATACATAAAGGGGGGATATGATCTCCATGTATAATACATAAGGGGGATATGATCTCCATGTATAATACATAAGGGGGGATATGATCTCCATGTATAATACATAAGGGGGGATATGATCTCCATGTATAATACATAAGGGGGATATGATCTCCATGTATAATACATAAGGGGGGATATGATCTCCATGTATAATACATAAGGGAGGATATGATCTCCATGTATAATACATAAGGGGGGATATGATCTCCATGTATAATACATAAGGGGGGATATGATCTCCATGTATAATATATAAGGGGGGATATGATCTCCATGTATAATACATAAGGGGGATATGATCTCCATGTATAATACATAAGGGGGGATATGATCTCCATGTATAATACATAAGGGGGGGATATGATCTCCATGTATATTACATAAGGGGGGTATGATCACCATGTATAATACATAAGGGAGGATATGATCTCCATGTATAATACATAAGGGGGGTATGATCTCCATGTATAATACATAAGGGGGGGTATGATCTCCATGTATAATACATAAGGGGGGATATGATCTCCATGTATAATACATAAGGGGGATATAATCTCCATGTATAATACATAAGGGGGGGATATGATCACCATGTATAATACATAAGGGGGATATGATCACCATGTATAATACATAAGGGGGGATATGATCTCCATGTATAATACATAAGGGGGGATATGATCTCCATGTATAATACATAAGGGGGGATATGATCTCCATGTATAATACATAAGGGGGATATGATCACCATGTATAATACATAAGGGGGGGATATGATCACCATGTATAATACATAAGGGGGGATATGATCTCCATGTATAATACATAAGGGGGGATATGATCTCCATGTATAATACATAAGGGGGGATATGATCTCCATGTATAATACATCAGTGGTTCATATAGTGAACTCGGTGTAGAGTTATTCACCCTGAGATCATCACAGAAGACAAGGGGGCACTCTTTACATCTGGAGGAAAAAGAGATACGGAAAGGTTTCTTCACAGTAAGAGCTGTGAAAATGTGGAATAGACTCCCTCAAGAGTTGGTTCTGGCCAACTCAAAGGATTGCTTTAAAAAAGGCCTGGATTATTTCTTGGATACACAGAATATAACTGGATATATCATTTATAGGTTAAGTTGATCCAGGGAATATCCAATTGCCTCTCAGGGGATCAGGAAGGAATTTTTTTCCCCTGTAGGAGTAAATTGGATCATGCTTTGCTGGATTTTTTTTTACCTTCCTCTGGATCAACTGTGGGTATAGAATTATAACTTTGTTTTTTTGTTGAACTAGATGGACTTTTTTTTCAGCCAGACTAACTATGTAACTATATACAGAAAGTTCACCTTTGAGAATATGTTACATGTCCCCAGTGCTGCAGCCACCTCCCAATCCCCCCCTCCCTGTGACAGCAGTACAGGCAGAAGTTCCCCGTACAAGCTGTCACTTTTTGAATAGAGTGTGGCTCAGCTCCGCCCACATACCTGCATCATTCACTCATAGAGTTCTGTGAATGAATGAACTACAAGTTCCGACAGCCTTAGCAGCTGTCCGCTTGTAGTTCTCAATGAACTACCTTGGCACTGTAGAGAATCGTGGTAGTTCATTGATGCTTCTTGTGAGTATATCTGCTTACTCGTACATCCCATATATCCCGTACACCCCACATATCTCATACACCCCAAACATTCCATACACCCCTACATCCCATATATCCTGTACACCCCACACATCCCGTACACCCCATACATCCTGTACACATTGTACATCCCATACATCCCGTACATCCCATACATCCTGTACATCCCATACACCCCATACATACCGTACCCCTGTACACCTCGTACATCCCGTACACCCCATACATCCTGTACATCCCGTACATCCCACACACCCCATACATACCGTACACCCCGTACATCCCGTACATCCCGTACACCCCGTACACACTCTCGTACATCCCATACATTCCATACATCCCGTACATCCCATACATCCTGTACATCCCATACATCCCATACACCTCGTACATCCTGTACATCATCACTTCCAGTTTACCCAGATACAATGGCGCTATTTTTAAAAACTCAAAACACAGATCCTCCATAAAAGAGTACCTGTCACATCCCTATTGCTGTCACATGGGATGTTTATA